CGGCGCGTACCCCTAGTTTTAGTCGGTCGACCCCCTTTTTTTTGAAGATCCTGATCTGGCCAACTGGTAAAAGCGGCCGATGGGGTCGGGACCAGGACCATTCATCTTGTCTCGTCGCCCCGATTCCAAAAATACCCCTATGTGCCCTGCTAGCACCAATAATGGCGGAAATCCCCCTCCCTCTCATGTAAACCATGATGCACCTGCAGCAGCACTTGTGTGACCCGGAAGGGAGTTGCACCACCGGATTACTTGTTTGGACGGTACTCCTGAAGTACCTTCCAAATCTGATTACTCTAGCTCAACTCCTTCCTTGTACACAGACGCCAACAACAACAACACACAGACACAAAGGCAAATGCATAGCCCCCCCCCTATTTTTTGAATAGAAGGGCGGGCCAAAAAGTCAGCCAGAAAAGAGGAAATTTAAGAAAATATCATGATTTTGACTAAAGCTAAAACTTCGATATCCTGCCACAGCCACACGGGGTGAGATATCGCAAAACCCTTTGGCAGGGGGTCTTTTTATGATGACCCCTACCCCCAAAAAAAGTTTCATCAAAATCGGAGAGATGAAATTCCAAGCGTTCGTTGGTTTGGCATGGAATCGCCCATACACATTTGGCCAAATAGTCTCTCTGGGTTGTTAGATCTAACATCGGCAATAACGGTCGCACACGGGTGCTTATTTCAGTGTTGCCATCTTCGGTCCAGCCATCAGTTAACCAAAATTCGGTATCATGCGAGGTAACTTGGGACAGTCATGTTCTCCTGTTTTCAGCACTCCTAGCCTCTTAGGAAATTTCTGACCGGGTTTCTGACCTAACCTGTCCTGCGGATGTTGTGCTGATGATGTGAAGCGATGCGTACTTATGCAGTTTTGTCTTCTGATGATGCATATTTGATTACTATTCAGAAAATGCATGGAAAGTACCAGACGAAAGGAGAGTCCAACGTAGAGTACTGTATATAGTCACATTTATTGCAGCTCCGAAACCTGGGTTCTAGATGTTGCCTTTACAATTTATTTGCTCCATAAACGTCCTAAGATACATGAGAATGCAGGTAATTTCCTACTGTCGCAAGTTGACCCCGGGCAAGGGTTACGCTGTGACATTGGGACACCCTTTCGGGGCCGGTTTCTAAACGTCATAATTGCGGCTAATGAACCAGAAAAGCATGGAATCGTGTTGAAATTGGGTTTTATTTTGAACGATGTTTTATCGACTATTTTGCCTCGGGGTAGTTTCTTTTGTCCACTTTAACCAAGAATCGGCTTACTTGACCATCCTTGTTGTTGACTGAAGGGCCCATACATAACTTACGTTGAGAGGATTACGCCCTGCGACAAGGGGTCCACGGATGGACGGTGGGCCATCTTCATGCGCGCCTCTCGCTTCAACCGCTACAACCCTACTGAGAAGCAGAAAATTACCGGAAACCTGACACTACTTCAGACCTTTGACGACACCGCTTGGGTGAGTGAACTTACCACCTCTCACTGTTAGAAAAAGTTGTGGGATAACGACAAAAAGTTCAACAGCATGATTGTTATAAGACGACAAAATTGTCAAAATTCAAAACAAAACAACCATCATATTACAAAAAACTTGTTTTAAGAATACAAAATTGTATGGTTACAAAAGAATATGCTCAAAATCAAAACAATAAAAGTATCGTTATCAAACAATAATTTCATCTCAAAACGACAAAAGTCGTTCAAAGATTGTTTGACTTGTAGGATTACGATGAAATAATCAAATTTGCCATATTGTCAAATATTCCGGCAAAAAGTCTGGGAAAGGCACATCTTAATTAGCATGAAAACTTAATGCTATTTTGATAACCTTTCATGATGAACAGCTGTGTTTTTGCTCACCAGTCTGCCTCAAAGGTTAAGGGGAGGTTCTGGTGAAAATCTTGCTATTTTCCGGAATATAAAATATGAAATCTTTCTTCGAGGAGACTAAAATTTGACTTTTGAAGGCACATGCCAGGCTCTGAACCCAGTCGAAGAATCTTTATGAGCCTATTTTGGCTGTATTTTAAAAAATCTTCTTGCGCATACTATTTTGTCGTAAGAGCTTGACCTTGACATTTTTCACTTCTTCGCTAAGTTTTGAGACTTTTTGCCGGAATATTTGACAATATGGCAATTGTGATTATTTCATTGTAATGCTAGGAGTCAAACAATCTTTGAACGACATTGTCATCATGTAATGACATTGTCATCGAGCAAAATCAACTAAGACGGACCACTTCTTCCGGTGACCCTCTCCGATTTGCCTGATTTTTTGTAGGCTTAATAACTAGCTTAAGGAGAGTCTAAAGCCAAAATATTAGGTCCGGCAAAAATTTATTGCCCGAGATATGGCCAACTTTAGTTTAACTTTTGGAGAAAAAACACGAATTTGGGTATTTTGGACTAATTTTACACTTTTCACAGTAGAGGGCTAAAATTCGGTCACTTTACGTAAAATTGGCCAAGGAACAAGAATATGACCTCAGATTTGACCTCTGACGAATACCGGAAGAGTAAACCCCCCAAAACAACCTAAAAACACATAAAAAAACAGATTTTTCTTGGGGTTTCTGGGAAAAATATGTGGACAAAAACTTTTGATGATCTTATCTTGTAGAAAATGGCGCGATGAATCGAATGAGACCACGCGCAGATTTTTATGTCAAACCGTTTAAGAGATATGGCGGTTCAAAGTATGAAAATTTTGCCATTAATTTTTAAAAAAAATGTAGGTTTGGAGCATTGTTTGACGGTTTTTGCCTCCTTGGTGTGTGTGGGTGTTCTTATCTTGAGGTAAAAGACGCGCTGAATCGAATGAGACCACGCACAGACCTGAATCTCAAACCGTTCAGGAGATATAGCGGTTCAAAGTATGGGCACTGTAGTCCGCCCGCCAAACAGACGTGTTTGGCGGGCCTGCCTTGTCGGGTGTTTCAGGAGCTCTCCCGTGCCCATACTTCAAACCACTATATCTCCTAAACGGTTTGAGATACAACTCTGTGCGTGGTCTCATTCGATTCAGCGCGTCTTTTTCCACAAGATAGGAACACCCACACTCACCAAGGAGGCAAAAACCGTCAAACAATGCTCCAAACCTACATTTTTTTTAAAATTAATGGCAAAATTTTCATACTTTGAACCGCTATATCTCCTAAACGGTTTGACATAAAAATCTGCGCGTGGTCTCATTCGATCCATCGCGTCATTTTCTACAAGATAAGATCATCAAAAAATTTTGTCCACATATTTTTCCCAGAAACCCCAAGAAAAAACTGTTTTTTTATGTGTTTTTAGGGTGTTTTGGGGGGTTTACTCTTCAGGTATTCGTCGGAGGTCAAATCTGAGGTCATATTCTTGTTCCTTGGCCAATTTTACATAAAGTGACCAAATTTTAGCCCTCTACTGTGAAAATTGTAAAATTAGTCCAAAATACCCAAATTCGTGTTTTTTCTCCAAAAGTTAAACTAAAGTTGGCCATATCTCGGGCAATAAATTTTTGCCGGTCCTAATATTTTGGCTTTAGACTCTCCTTTAGTTAGTTATTAAGCCTACCAAAAATAAGGCAAATCGGAGAGGGTCACCGGAAGAAGTGGTCCGTCTTAGTTGATTTTGCTCATCATGTAACGACATTGTCATCATGTAACGACAATGTCGTTGATTGATGATTTGGATCCAATGACTGTGAAGAGGATATGAGTTCAGCCAATGTCTATGATAATTTTATCGTTGAACAGCACTTTCATCAAACTACGACATTTTATCTTACGACATCTTTCTCAATTGACAGCAACTTCTGCTATGAAACTTTACGACAAATTTGTCGTAAACCAACAGCAGTTTTTCTAACAGTGCTGTTAATCAAAACTTACAGTGGTGGATCCTGTTATATTTTTTTGAATGGGGGGGGGAGCATTTTTAGACTTTGCCTACCTTTCAGGCGGCTTCCTACACTGTGCGAAAAAAACAAAGTGAATCCCGTTAATTTTTTTGCCGGGATTTACTGTAGTTCAGAACACAGGATTTACTGTGCCTGGCTACAGTATCTACTGTACCTGGTACAGGATATTCCGTACTCCACTCCTGTGGTACAGTAAATCCCGTACAAAGTACAGTAGATCCTGTAAAAAAAGTACAGTAAATCCTGTACTCTGAACTACAGTGACAGCTGTACTAATCGCTACAGGATTTACTGTGATTTTTTCCCACAGTGTAGGGTCCAGGGAGGGGCAATTGGCCTTTTGACCCTCCTCCGCGCTCGGAAATGAAAAGCATCAAGAGGACGTTCTTGTAAAGATCTTACTTTCTTCAAACGGCACCCTGATCCTGTTGTAAAAATTGGTTGAACATTGTGAGGGAGGTTTGGGCAATTCGTAACAAACACCCACATTCACACAATGAGGGCTTTTGAAGGAACTGTGAGTATAAACAATCTTCTATGTTATCGATCTCATCGGTTTGGAATCAAGGTGGTCCATTGTTGGCTGAGCGATAGCGAAGCCTGTTACTCCAGTGGGGTTGAAAAGTTTTTTCTGTCTGTCTGTCTGTGTGTGTCTGTCTGTCCGCACTACGGCTCGACCGATCTCGATGAGATTTGGCACACTCTTTAGGCATGTTTTTGGCTCAGCACACGAAAAAATCTCACCATCGTAGCTCAACTGGTTCAGTTTTAATAGCCGAAAAACACCTAAAAACGGCGAAAAATCGAGTTTTCTGCAGGCAGGATGCCTTCTGTCTTGAAGAAGGGGGGTGAGCGATTCTCACGTTTCGGGGTAGTTTTGGCGTCTCTGATTTGCCGAAATTGAGAAATATCCAATTAAGTTTTTCTGATTATTCGGGTCCTGGATGATACTAGAGTTATGGCAATGGTATTTATAGTAAAGACCTTGTACTACCTTCCTAAAAACATGAGCCATAAGGTATTCCCATACGTTTTAGTGGATGTTTTGATCACGGAAATTACGTTATCACGGAAGTTACAAAGTGTGAAAATCGGCTTTAACGGCTGACTCGGGCTTGCTGTGGCTTAAAAGTCGTTCCAGGGTCAAATGATACTCTAAGCCCGACATTTAAGCGGAAAAAATTTTCACCTAGTGCTGCTGCAACATTGGGTAAAGGGTGCCACGGAAGTTACAGGTAATTGTTGATACACGCCATTTTATAATGCTCTAGCCCGCTTTGAGACCGTGTACAGCATCTTAGAATTCCGCGACCCATGCAATTATTATATCCCAGGGACTCCACTTTGATGGCTTGTGTCATGGAAAGTTAAAAGTTTGGCTTGGGGAGAAGTCCAGAGCTGCCTTTTCGAAATTTGTGTAGTGAAATTCAATATACGGAGGACATTTTTCGTTGCAGCATAAGTACCTTTGAAAGAAGTCTGGCGTATTGGTCTTCAGTTGAAATTAGCTCGAGACATGCCAAGCTTCGAATCCTCATCGACAGTTGGCAGCATTTTCGAACCACACCGCCACACTGGGGGCGGAAAGTTCGAGTATGTTCTCTTTGGACAATCACGGAAGTTACATTTAGGGTATTCCAAACGCTACGTAGACCAATCCAACGAACTTGAACTTTTCAAAATGTGTGCGATTAGTTGGCAATGGCCCTCCCTAACATCACAAACAAACCCCATGTCGATATCTGCGCTCGTTTGGGCACAGGAGTCAGAAGAAACGAAACTACCCCGAAACGTGAGAATCGCTCGGGGGGGTCTGGGGGGCGGAGCACCCCAGCCTCGATAAGTTCAAAGGTTACAAGGGTCAAGATAATGTTATCTGTAGATGAAGCAACTCTACCTAGAATGAAGGGGGGTCTGGGGCCGGAGCCCCCCAGCATGCAACAAGTTAGAAGTAACCGACGATGGACAAGCCATTGCCTGCCGAAGGCAGGCTAGCGCCGCAGGCCAAGGTAGGCCAAGGTAGGCCAAGGTAGGCGTACGCCAGGCGCGGATTGGAGGAACAGGCAGCGAAACATCGCGAAGCCTGTTACGACAAGACGCGGTCTAGCGTGAACCTACCTTGTAAAGATTGATCGTCAATTTACATTTGTAGAAATTATTAGTTAATTTATGTTGACAAATGAGAATCATAAATTTCCATAAGTTTCTATTATTACTCTATGAACACTTTCTGTATTCCTTACCTTAAAAATTATTCATTTACTTTCAATACCTAAGCTACCCATTAATGACATATGCTTTACATCGTAATATTTATGGCAAAAATTCGTTGTAAAATTTTACTGCTTTCAAAGCTATGTGTATGTATCGACACGTGTTGGGAGGCCACGGCGGCGTCGGGGAACGACCCGCACTTCTTGAGGGGCTCGATGGCCCCGATCTCGCGGAAGATCTCCGCGTTGCATTGCTCCTTCTTGATGCCCGCCTCCATGCAGAGGAAGGCAGCCAGGTTGCGCGCCTCGCGCTCGGAGCTCAACACGGGCACCAGCCTCCTCGTTCCTTCCCGTGCTAGGCATCGGCACACAAATCGACATGATCGAAGGCTTAATTTTGGCGTGTGGTGAGCCAAGAATATACCCAACGACCTTGCTAAATCTCAATCAAATCGGCCAAGCCGTTCAGGAGAAGGAGCAGTCTAAAGACGCACACACACACACACAGGTTTATTGATTACAATGAAAAAGATAGTTTAAGAAAATACTGAAGACCAGGAGTCTGTACACAATATTTGCAAATCTTAAAAAAAATGAATATATTTCCACATACACTGTAATGAAAGATCGTTTCATATCTAAAACAAACCTATAACACTAACACATTGAAGCACTTTCTGCTTTGATGACTTGTACATCAACTCTCATTGAAGTTCTCAGTGTTAGATTTATCAAAAAATTACACTAGGAGCTGTGTATTATCTGAAGTATCTGTGAAAATCATGGCTTGTGCTGATTCATAGGCATCCTGAGAAATGATTAATGCGTCTACATCGTTATCCGAAAATTGTTTTATTGACAGAAAAAAAAGTAATATTTGAGAAACTTTACGTCAGAAAAAAAGAACTTTTGTTTTGCTAATTTTCTGTGAATATTTTTTTAGAAAGTTATCACATAAAAATTGAAAATTTGTTTTATTTGAATTTTCAGAAGCAGGAAACAAAGAAAAAACAAGGAAGAGAGCAAAATTAATACAGATTTCAAATGCTACAGTTGGTTAAACTGTTAAACAGGTTGCAAACCTACTGCGCATGTCCGAAAACACTCCGATCAAGAAGTATTATTGGATAGTTCTACCCGAAAAACTGCATTCGAACCGACACCAATTCTATTGTTGCATCTTGTCTACCTGCAGTCAAAGAAATTTTTCACTTCGGACGTGCTATTTCAGCTTTTGGAGTAAGCTGTACAGACCCAAAAAGAAGCTCGGCTATTGGTCCGCCCCGGCTCGGGCTCCCCCCACTCCCTTTTTTTTCCTTTGACGAGTCGAGTTTTGCCATGGAAACGGCGATTTTGACAGCAAATTTCTCAAAATTGGCCGTTAACTTTTTAACCAGATTTCAGCATGAGAATCAGCGTTCAAAGTTCTACAAGTCTGCAAAATCTCATTAAAATCGTATAGAAAATTTCAGGGATCCTTAACTTACCTCATAAGGGCATCATAACGTTATCATAAGAGTTAAAGTTATTACCCTTAACTTCGAACATCTTTTCAAAAGGGTAGGTTATTTTTTTATGTCTCGAATTTGTGTGGATATACTTTTGCAAGTATTTTCATAAGTCCGTACCCTTAACCTTTAGCGAACATTGTCTTATGTTACGTTATGACAGCAGTGTCAGTTAAATGTTGAGTTAAGTTAAGGATCCCTGGAAAATTTCCGAAATGCATAAAGGGTCACACAAATTGAATCTCGGGCCGGCTGAATCCTGGGTATACTATAAGGCTACTTCGTGCCTAAAAAAGAAATGCTGTTCAGTGTTCGCCTCTCATATTTGTACCGCTTTGTCGCAGGCTCACATGAGGATGGATATACGAGCTAACAATGAGTGGAAAAACGGTGCTTTTGTGCTCAAGTTCCCGAAGATAGGGTGCAGCATGTTCAGAGCCAACGTACCGTCCCTCTTCAAAGCTGTTTACAAAGGCGTCAGCATGACAGGTGCCTGCTCGGCACCTCCGGTACGGAAAAGTTAGAGAATTTTAACACCAAAATGAATTTTCTGGCGCGAGTTTTCCCAGGACATATCTCATTGGAGAGGGCTCATACATGTCTCATTGGTCTTTTGGTGCATTTACTACGGAATAAAACGAAGCTTCAGATAGTCTGCGTTCTGATCTGATTCAAAAGTATAGGGGTAGGTTGGGTAAGAAGAGCGCACTCGAGGCTCGGGTAAGAAAAGAACACCCGTTAAATCTCCGAACTGAAACTGCACCGCTAGAAATAACTACAACAAAAGTGCACAAATTTCTGGCAAATTTTTTATCAGGTATTTATTGTACTTTTTAAGTACAACAATTGTTGTACAAAGTACAATGAAATCGGCATGACGAGTGCTGTGCAGTCAAGGCCTCGTTGTGGTTTGTACAATTTTCGTTGTACTTTTAACAATCCCTGTTGTACTTTCACTGTACAGTTTTTGTTGTACCTTTGTTGTACTATCCACACTTTTTCTCGCAGTGCGATTTTGACAAAACTTGAACTAATGGCAAGTGAAAGGTCTCCAATTTAGGGTTAAACGTGTATTGAGCCAAGATTGGTGGTCTCCTGGTTTGAAATCGCAATTCTTTTCGTTGTACTTTTCTTACCCTTTTCGAGGAGTTCTGAAATCACATACATTTAAGCATGTTGTACGTAATGTGGGGAACTATAATCAATGAACAGTGATCCATTTCATTAGGAAGGCATTGGATTACAAGTTCACGAGAGCAGAATAGTTGACTCCTCATTTGGAACTTCTGTACACTGCAAAGTACGCGCTTTGTACTTTCCTTCCCCAACCTACCCCTATGAAGCTACAAATGGGCAAAAATTGAAGTAAACTGTCCATACTTTGGACAGGCCACACAGGCTCCTACGGCAAAAACCTTTCCGAAACTTGAACGTCATGAAGATAAATATGCTGTGGATTTAACGTCCTGTCACTGCTCTATTCGTTTCTGTCTAAAGTTAAGGTCATTGTCCAAGGTTAGGTTTGGTTGACGGATCTTAAACCGCGACAAAACTATGAGTTTGACAATCACCATAAAATTGACTACGATGAGCCATCTTCATACGCCCCGCCCCCTCTCAAAAATAAATGTGTCAAATTCAAATTTTCAAGGACACCACCCCAAAGTTGAGAAAGTTCCAAATTTCAAATGTTTCAAATTGACATTTGTTACCCTTTTTTGGTACAAGCTCTGTCGCCCGTGGCTCTGTCAAAAAGGCCTGGAATAGTAGCGGTCCGAGCTTTAAAGCTCAATAAAACAGCCAAATGTTTTTTTTTGTTTGTTTGACGCTGCGTCAAACGAAAAGCAGTCTGTTTTAACGAAGTATTTAGAGCATACATACAAAAGCTTACAAAGAACTTCTTTTCTTCGTATAACAAAGTAAATTAGTTTGTATTGAGCATTAGTATTATGCTCAAAATACTTCGAAAAGGTTTTAAGCGTGCATTATGTATGAGGCTCAGTCGGAGTATCTGCGATAATAGAGTAAGCTCGTGTTACACTTCGTCGCAGCTTGTAATGTATTGACAATTCCAGGGGGTGTACGTTTTCGATGATCCGGTGGATTGGGCCTTTCCCAACATTCACGTGTTCCCGTACGGCCACTACTATCTAACCTTAAACACCGGACAAAGAGACTCCAAAAATGCCAGCCTCTGCTCCCACGTGGAGCTCCGATTCATTCCAAAGTCCGTCGTGTAAGCATCGTATCGTTCGTTTCACACTCGGCTCAACCAGGGTCTTCAAGCTTAGAGAGTGTCCTCTGGATGCAACGGCGAAGAGAAGGGGAAACAATTTCAAACAAATAAAACTAGTGGAAAGAAAAATTACTTTGTAAATTGCTTTACTTGTCCACTGTAATATCCCTGTTTTTCGTGTTTTTGGGTGTGTGTATTTTAATGGACAGAATAATCTGTTACTTTGTAAATGCTCAGCTCTATGGTGCAGCATCTCTAGGCATGCCAAGAGTCAATAAAATCTCGTTATAATTTCAAATCAAAATTATTTCACTTATTTCAAATTTATTTCGATTCATATCATATTTATATTTCAACTTATTTTATCGGTTTGAGAATTAAAAGCTGCACCCACGAACTAACAAATTCTACTAACGATGGTACCAAACACCAGACGGTCTCAAATATAAGTCACTCTTTAAACCTTGCGAACCGATGTGCTTGTAAGCTTGCAAACAATCCGGCTTTTTCGCTATGCAACTAAAGCATCAGTAGGCTATTGCCAATTAGTAGTTCGCAACTTGCTATAAGTGCTTCTCAATTTGAGAAAAACCTGTTCGTATTGCGAACCCTTGCAAACACATTGTTCTCAAAATTGCGAACTATCAGTTTCGTAATACAATCAAGCCAAACTTTTCGCAAAGCTCCGCACCGAATGGTTTCGCTAGGTTCTGTGAGTGCAAAGGGCAGTTCTGGCAGTTCGTCACTCTAAAAATCCATGACCGGACCGGGTGAATCACTCATTGAATGGAGAGCCCCCTTTTCAAATGGCTTTTTGTGGAGTGGGGCATCTCGTCTTGCTGCCGGGACCTGATCTGTTCCTCATGGACAAAAGTATCTCCGTCAGAAGCACAAGCCCGGCACTGACCAGGCCGTCGAGGAGAATAGTGAACATGGGTCGAGCGTGCTTTAGCCTGAGAGGCTCAGCCCTCGCCGACGTTCTGTGGGTGGGAGGCTTCTGCCGGCCCGTCACGGTGGTGTCCCGGTTGGCAAACCTGTCGGCAAGTCCAGCCGCCCGCCAGCGGCCCAGGAACTTCCTCAAGGACGCCTCGAAGGGCGACCCCGGCATGACGACGTAGTTGGTGACGTACTGCTCGAGCGGCAGCTGGAAAGTGTGCACGCGCGTCGTGTCGGCGACCATGGGCGGCAGCTCGGTCTCGCCCGGCCTCAGCAGCACGGCGGCGGTCCGCGCCTCGCCGATCAAGTCGAAGATGTCCGTGAGCGTGGTGCCCGTGCCGACAGTGTAGTGCACCCTGTGCGCCAGCCCCCACGCCTGCAGCGGGAACAGCGACGCGTGGAACGGGTTGTGCATCATGATGGTGAGGTTGCTGGCGGCCAGCTGCTCCACGGAGTCGATGTTCTCGACCGAGTTGCGCACGTTGAGCTCGCTCAGAAGCTGCCCCTGGTGGCAAGGTGGAATGTCTGTTAATTTCGGCGTGCGCACACTGTGAGAAAATGGTACGGTTTTCGCTGTTAGTTTATTAAAGGAATTCGCCGTACTTGGAAGTTAGAAGTACACTCTGCATTCTCAACAGTGAACTCAGTACACTCTCTTCAGCGTGTGCTCACGAGCACACACACGAGCGTGTTCTCAACAGCATTTATTTCCAGGATCTGAGCACACTCTCTTTAGAGTGTACTCATATAGGCACACTCTCGTTGGAGTGTACTCATCTAAACACACTCTCGTCGGAGTGTACTTGAAAGTACACGCTGAACATAGTGTTCTGAGCACACAGTTTAGTTTGCAGAGCAGTGTTTACTGTACTTCGTGCAGTGCACTAGCTGAGAGGCATCCATTTCTTTACAACAAAGTTAATTTGGACGATTTTAAAAATTCCCTCGAACTCCTTGGAGTGGAATAAATGACTACATCTTTCAAAAGCAGTGTACAAACTACGGTAAACGCCGTACTTCCAGGTACGTTGAGCACCGAGGGGGTAAACACTTGCGTAATCCCCGCACATAAAAGTCGGGTATTACGCCGTAATACGCGTAATAGTAATACATTTTCGGACCAAAAGTAACAAAAAATGTCAATTTTCAATGAAATCGAGGCGTAATACATGCGTAATACAAGTGTAATACCCCGTAATAGGGAGTAGTCTGTACAAGGTTCACCGGAGTGTTTACCACATCGTTGAGCACCGTTAGTAAATAAACGGCGAAAACCGTACATTTTTTCTCAGTCAAAAACCCCTAAATTTGGAAAGGGTTTGGTTGAATTTGGTGGGTTCTGATGTACACACTCGGCTGGAGTTGCCCTTGCCTGGTAGGTGGTGGTGAGGACGACGCCGGCGAGGAGCCAGCAGCCGAGCACGGGGCGCCGCAGCACGCCCAGGGCGCCGGGGAGGGGCGCACCGCGGCCCTCGAGCACTGGTAAAACCAAAGCGTAACTCTATGCTTGAGCCAAGCATAAAGTTATGCTTGAAGACGTTACGCTTGAAATCAAGCATAGGCTAGAAATTCCCCCATGCATTTAGATGGGGGAAATCTTGGCGGATGAGCCTGTTACGCTTGATTTCAAGCGTAAACTGATTACGCTTGAAAACAGTGGGTAATACTACGCTTTAGTTTTACCAGTAAGGGCGTCGGCGGCGAGCGGCCCGTCAGCGCGCAGCAGGAACACGGCGGCGGCCACCGCGAACACGGCCGCGTACGTCGTGAGCCACCTCGTGACGGAGAACTCGTCCGCCAGCACGGACAGCGGCTCGCGGCGACGGCGGCGCGGCGCTGGCACCGCGGCGATCATGTGCGTCACGGCCCACGGGAAGGGCACGAGGTGCAGCGCGGCGCTGAGCGGCAAGGGCGAGGCCAGGACGTCCAGCCGGCACGCCACCGCGTGCTCCAGCTCGCCGTCCTCCTCGCTCATCCAGTACGTCCTCAAGGCCACGCCGTGGTGCTTGGCGAAGTGGCGCAGCTCGCGCTGCCTGTCCTCGGCCCAGCGCCGGATGCTGCCCCTGAACAGGAAGGGGTTGATCCGCGCCTCGAACACGCCGTCCGCAGGGCGCCGCCACTGTCGGCACGGCCGCGCGAACGGCTCCATCGGGAACGCCCAGCCCAGCTCGGGGCTCCAGTGGTTCTCCTCGGAGACCGGCGGCGGGTGCTCGCCGCACGTGCACGGGTTGCGGTAGACGGTCGTGCCGCCGTCTGGGGCCGTCAGGAGCAGCGCCGCGTTGAAGAGGCACTTGTAGGCCAGGCCGCGCACGGCCTCCGCCGTCGCGTTGGCCGAGCCCGGCGGCGAGCCGGCCCACATGACGGTGCGGGCCAGGTAGGGCATGGCGCCCACCGGCATGGACTGCACCAGCACGGAGAGCGTCTCCGCCACCACCTGAAATCAGGGTTTCTGAACTTAACATTCAACTAACACTGCTTTCATTACGTAACATAGAACAATGTTCGCTACAGGTTAAGGGTAAAGACTTTTGCACGTATCTCCACTCAAATTCAAGACATAAAAAACATTTTTTATCCTTTTAAACAGAATTCAGAGGTTACTTACAGGTTATAACTTTAACTCGTACGATAACGGAGAATACTGTACGGCCCTACGGAGAATACTGTAAGAGCCTACAGAGAATATTGATAAGAGGGCTACGGAGAATCCTGGCAAAAAAATTAACAGAATTTTCCGTACCTTTTTGCCACAGTGTGGTAACTACACACTAAATGTCTTGGGACTTTTTTTGTCCCATGAATGATGCAATTTTAAGCACATCCGGTGGTGATGCAATTTTGTGTCCGCCAGGCGGGACAAATTGTCCAGTGAAAGAACAACTTGTTGCAGGCGTCGGACAAAATGTGTCGCCAGGCGGGAACAAAATTGTATCAGCGCCGGATGTGCTTAAAATTGCATAAATCGTGGGACAAAAAAAGTCCCATGACATTTAGTGTGTAAACTGCGCTACACTGTTAAAAATAATCGTAAATTTACGACATTTTGTAAAACAATTATGTCGTTCTTAAACGACATATTTTGTTACGACTCAAGTCGTAAATATACGATATATTATATATATTGTTTCCTGCAGTTTTTGATATGCTGAACTCAAAAATGGCTTCCTAATTTTTCCCAGACTCACGCATTACCGAATTTAGACCAATTTAGGACCAAAATTTTTGAATCAAGTTTGACATTCATCCCATTTTTTGTGAGCTGATAACGAAAATCGCTTCCACCCAGACCTACATTTCACCCCATATGAGACCATAAGTTGCACATCTCGTCTACTTATGCAAAGCCCGAAGCGCACAAACTACTTCGCATCGCTCAGCCACACTACGCGCCCACACTGAACGGCGCGTACCCCTAGTTTAGGTGTAGTCATGAGTGCAACCTGTTGTCGGAGCTGGTATTGTTTAGGTTTGGGCATCGTCCCTGCTGCTCACCAGCACGAGGGCGTCCTCCATGGTCATTCGCAGTGCCGCGTCCCGCCAGACGCTGTCGTCGAAGGGCAGGAGGGTGACGGCCGCCGGCGCAGGCAGGCGTCCCAGGACAGCGCCCAGCCAGGGGGCGGATCCCACCACGAACAGGCGGGGGTGCTCGCTGTGGCCGAGCAGTCTCGGCACGAAGGACAGCGCGCACACCGCCTCGGGGTGCGAACCCAGGCGGGGCGGCGGCACCAGGGCGCGGGCGCCGCACCCCAGCAGCAGCATGACTAGCCCGCACCAACCAAGAATCTCGGAACGCCTCGGCGGTACCTGAGAACGTTAAGAAATCAAGGTGCCCGCACCGCACTGAATTGGCGTACGTTTGATGTGCATAGCTTTTGCTCAGAACCAAGCATCCACTGTTAGAAATAAGATCCGAAATTTTATGGAGAAACGCTATAGTCACGTTCATGGAGACTTCATGGGAAAGTCCCATATCTTGGGATTTTGCAGTTAAAAGTACCCAGTCTTTTTGAAACTAGTCTTATCTTACGCAGGGTCCGCTGAATCCAAAAATCACAACCCCAGATTTTTCTGACGAACCGTTCCGGAGATATTCCACTTCAAAGTCAAGCAATTTTTATTCTGCCTAAAAGTTGTGCGATTTTGCAAGGCTTTTCATTCTGAGGCATTGGGCGGTGAGTTCCAGTGGCGCTGGCCTTGTGCGCTAGCTGGTGTTCCCTAGCGTGCTCTTGGCGCCTGCCAGGTAGGCCAAGCCGTACCCCACCGAAATAGTCGGATATTTCAGAACCACCTACTGTTACTTCTTCCTAATTTTGTCTGAAACATAAGAATAACTTTTAACAGTGCGCTAAAATGTACCTTGTCTTCACCCTGAAAATTTACGGAACAAACTCACTGAACATCTAGCACCGAATGTCTACGCCAAATATAAGGAGAAAAGATGCTAAGTCAAACCAAAATCAACTTGTAGAATGTGCTGGAGCCAAA